CTCTCTCTCTCTCTCTCTCTCTCTCTCTCTCTCTCTCTCTCTCTCTCTCTCTCTCTCTCTCTCTCTCTCTCTCTCTCTCCCCCCTCCTCCCCCCCTCGTGAACCTCCAATTGACATGCACAGATTCCAGCACTCATGTCCGTACATGGAGTCTAGCTGCCGCTCTCATATTCGTGTCAACAAGAGTTCAAACATACAAGAAGAAGATGGAACTCGAAAGAAAAAGTCTGCACATGCTTCTCTGCAACACTTTCAGCTTCACTCAGGCAATCACTCCATTGTATATGGACAGCAACCTTGAATCTGCTAGTCAAAATCACTGTGCCAGCCTTCCACTCGCCGATGTCTACTTCCTCCGATCTACCTACCGACCTACACTCCTCATATTATGCTGCACACTTTTCCACATCGTAGGAGCTTCCTGTTGTCTTCGGACTCCTACAGTCTATATCTCACAGCTGCAACCACTAGCAACGCTTAAGCCCCCAGTCCATTCCCTACCTATTTTGTCCCTACACGCTGACTAACTCGCCTCAACATTGCAGGTCGGGCCTACCGGACGTCAAACACTGTCGTCGCCTGGCAAATCGTGCGCTGACAGCTGGTTCAGTGGTAATTGTTGGGCAGCAAAAAGCTGCGTCAGAAAAGGAAGGCTTGGATGGACTGGTGGCCACAGTGGACAGAAGTATAACCGTACGGGCCATGATATCCACCCCACCCCTGCAAGGCTGTAGTGTCCTTCACACACACACACACACACACACACACACATACACACACACACACACACACACACACACACACACACACAATCAGTTTTATGTGTCTTGTTCCCTCTTGTTGTTTGTCCTCCCTCTGATTTTTTCTAAGTATTTTTCTGTGTGCCCAACTGAGCACCCTTAAGTAGTGCTAAACAGTCGGTGGTTCCTCGTTTGGAGTGCCAACTGGAATCTTAGGGGGGCCGCTCGGTTCGGGATGTCTGTGTTGTCTGTGGGTAATGACAGATGCTCGTCGGAGTTTCTCCCTGGCTCAGTGGGTGGTGGGAACCAACAGTCTGCGGGGTTCAACCGTGATTTGAGTAGGTCATGTGCTGCTTTGCTCCGTGTTGGATGTGTGGACGGCCTCGTCTGCGCTCCACCGTTGTCCTGCTGCCTGTCCCGCTTGCTTCGCATGTGGTTCTTTGCAGGTTGATGTGTTCGCTGTGTGGTGTGGCCGTGTGATTGGTGTTGCCTTGCGCTTCGCTGCTCCACTGCCTTGCTGCCCTTCTGCTGGTCGTGCCTTTCGTGTTTGCTGCTTGCGGGCCCTGTTGGACGGTTGCCTGTTGCTGATGCCTTGTGCTTCGCTCCACGGTTGCCAAGCTGCTGGTCCGCTCGCCCTGTCGTCCCTTGCAGTGTGATTGCCTTGTTTGTGTTGTCATGTGCTTCACTACACGGTTGCCGCGCTGCATATCTTGCGTGCCATGTCGTTCCTTGCAGTCATTTTTGGCGTTGTGCAGCCGTGTTGCCTCTACTGTGTTGCTTGGTGCCCCACAGCTGCCCGCTGCTATGTTCCGCTTGGGGGCAGTCTGCCTTAAACAAGGGTCAAAGGGTTCATGACCCAAACCTTCAAATACGGAGATTCCGCAGATTGTCGAGGGTTCAGCCTCCTGATGAGTCGGTGCAACCCCGACGAAACATTATGTCATCATCAGTTCTTATTGTTGTTTTTTTTTCGTTCTCTTCTTTTTCAACTTGGCTCTTTATGTCTCTTCCCTTGTTGCCTTGTGCT